ATGATAAATATGAGACAAACAATGCATTTTCCCCCATATGTCAATGTTTGACGTCGCGAAAAATAAAATTTTACGCTAGCGACGTCATTGTCTCCCCCGTAACCGTATCGTATGCCCTTCAACGATGATACATATACCTAGTATTTTTTTTTTAAAATACAACAAGTGTGTTCACAGACTTGTGGTGTTTGGTGGCGAATTTCGATAATGACTTGTGTAGGGGTGGATTCTTGTGGGTGACAGCAGGCTCATATGCCACTCCAAAATCTAAATTTTGTTGTGTTGTCTGGTGGGTGAATTTGGACACTGTTGCACATTGAAATATAAATATTGTGTCATGAAACGTATTAGTAGGCTATGGATTTGGTATTTTATTTCAGCATGCCTAAACTTCTGAGGCCAAACTCAATAGTTTAAAGGATTTAAGTAACAATAAATGAAATTTGAATTAAAAACAAAATATAAAAAGCAATATTTCAGAATATTATATTATTAAATTATTTGTTTTTTGTGTTTCTCTGTGATGAGTGTTCTTGCATGTGTTTGTGCTGTATTTCTGTCACGTAGTGTTGTCATTTTAGCGTTATCTTTTAACATTGTCATATAAGCGGGAGGTTTGGCTAGCCATAAAACCGTGTTCAACCCACCATTTTTTCTTAAAATGTCCTGTACCAAGTCAGAAAAATGGCAGTTGTTATCAAATAGTTCGTTTCTATGTATGTTGGCGTATGTTTTTGTTGCACTACAGTGTTTCTGTTGTTCCGTTGTTTTCCTCTTATAGTTGATGTGTTGCCCTCGGTTTTAGTTTGTAACCTGGATTTTTACTCTCAATCGATTTCTGACTTTTGAACAGCGGTATACTACGGTTGCCTTTATTGATAGATTATTTAAAATGATTAGTGGGGTATTATAATTTTTATATATAAAAAGTTTAATTTTTCCAGACGAAGTTTATTATGCTTGGGTTCAATATTTCATAATAAGGATTCTACATGTCGATCAAAATATCTTTTTCGCATATACTAGTGCTTTAGCTCTAGATAACAAACACAAGACATCGCTGGGCCTTGAAGCTCATCAGTATAACATTAAAACCTTCATCAACAAGATGTTATTTTAGTAAAGCAAATTAAGAAAGTAAAGTCCACGATTTGTTTTTCTATGTATAGTTTGGTGTCTCATTACTCTCCATACAACTTAGCCTGGTATGTATCTTTTCAAGATTTGTTTTTGTATGTATAGTTGGGTGCCACACTACTCTTCATACAACTTATTCTGTTATATATCTTTTCGAGATTTGCTTTTTTATGTATAGTTGGGTGTCTCATTACTCTCCATACAACTAAGCCTGGTATGTATCTTTTCAAGATTGTTTTTTCATACATTTTTTTCTTTTTCTTTGATGTTTTACTTAATAAAATTTTAAAAAAAAAGTTATTTTCAACCAGCACTGTACTCTCTCTTCTGGTGTTCATACTAAACAGCACAATATGGTCCTTTCCATTCAGAAACACATCCATAAAAAAGTATAACAAAATACCAAACTCCAAGGTAAATTCAAAAAGGTGGAAGCCCATAAAACTGGCAAAATCAAATGTAAGACTTTTTAAGCCAACGGAACGAATAGAAAACAACTGTTATTTTCCTGACTTGGTTTAGGCATTTTCCAAATAAAACTGTGGGTTAAACCTGGTCAAACTAAAAACCGATTGTATCATTACACAATGAAGTTTCTTGTAAACGTAGTTTCATGTATGGTTAGTTTTGATTTTACGGATATGTGTTTTCGTGATAATGAATACGCCATTTTGTTATGTATGCTTAGTTCGTGTTAATGTATCCCTGTTTTTGTGTATCTATGCGCAATGTGTGTGCTTATGTATAAAGTGGTTCTGTATTTGTGTCGATGTAGTGGCTGTGGGTTTATTTGTGCTTATTATTTTATATTTTTTTCATTACTTTTGTTTTTAGAAGCTTCTATATCTTACATTACTGTAAACGCACCCATCAGTAAACATCAGAATAGAGAGTGTAAAACTTGTTAGAAACACACATTTATTAAGTAAAAACTCAAAGAAAAAATATATATATATGAAAATAAATCTTTTTACAAAATAATATATAAAGCTTAGCTGTATGAAGAGTAATGAGGCAATTGTTGTTTTTCAAAACAGAATATTTTTAAAATCGTTAACATACTTACCAGCACAATATTGTCCTTTCCATTCAAAAACACCAATTCAAACAGATACCGGTTGTATCATTACACAATGCAAATTTGAATGTTGTAATGCATATATTTATGAAAATTTCTCCAAAGTATCTATCAACGCATTTATCGACACATGTGTCACTATATAATGATCACACGCGCTATGACGACATTACTTTCCACAAATCATGGCACATTTTCAACTGGTCAGATTTACTTCCCATTTCATACATTCTACAGTCGTTACTTACACTTTAAGCATTCTGGTACACAAGCTGAATTGCAAAATCTCCCATACCTTCCTGGGAAAAAAAACTACTTCTACACTCTCCCGACTACCTCCTATAATCTACACATGTAGACATCCACTTCAACTAAAATTACAATTTTCTCCATATATACAATGAGTTGTAAAGAAAAAGGGGTAAAGACTTTATAGAATTTATAGAATTTCTAAGATATTCCAAGGGTTGACTGATGAATATAAATATGGTAATCCATGGATTCCTACATTTAGGGTACGTAGAACCCATTTTTAAGAGAGTCATCCTCTTGGCTATGCATGATGAATAAATACTCAGTAAAAACGAGTCGGAATAGCAACATAAAAGATAAGTAACGCTTGCAACAAGTCTTGCATGGTCTGTGGTTAGCTTGTTTTTTATGGCAAAATTTCTTATTCCAGTTGTATTTAAAATTTCTGCCCTTAAACATGCTCATCCCGGTCGGTCCACTCACGGGCTATTGTATTATTATTAATTTGTTCTCGCCTTAACAAACGACAATCAATCATATGATTTCGCATATAAAATTCTAATTTTTGCGTCTGTAAATGCCGAAAGTTACTTTCGACGCTGAGTTTGCCGTTGAACCATTAATAGCTACTCCGTATTTGCCTCGCGATCTATAAAACGTGATGTGGCCTTGATTTTTAAAACGCCTCAAAACGTTGGCCTCAGTAGGAATAATGATCAAGCTCCGCCTTTGTAAACAACACTGCTTTGTAGGACATACATTTATTTATCAAGTTGACCTGGACATAGGGTGTCCTGTGAATAGTTTGCTACATAGAAATAAGGATATGTGGCATGATTGCCAATGAGACAATTATCTATCAAAGTCCATCTGCTTTGTTAATGAACTATAGGTCACCGTGTGGTCTTTATATAGTTATTCCTTTATAAAGAGAAAATACGCTAGAATTGTCGCTTTTTCAAGCAGTAAACTTAAATGTTTTCAGTTATTGTAACGGTATTGTTTATAAGGTAAAAATGTTGTCTTGTGCTATGTTTGGGATAAGCATTGTTGGCGTTTATGTTAACTTTTATTTTAAATATGTAAATTATGTGTGAATAGTTTTTAGAAGTTTACAAAGAGCTCACATGGCAAAAATATGCAGTTTGATATTTATTTTTACCTTCTTTGCAATCTAAAAACTAAAAATGCTTATTTTAGAAACAAATAACGTATTTTCAAATTAACTGCTTAACACGAGCAACCAAGTTAAATAAAAAAGGACACATTTTACTCGGTGCCAGGATCACATTCGTTATGTAAAAAAAGGTATCAGGATCAAATAGATTTTGCCAACATCGTCTTAGCAACAAACCCCCCCCCCCCCCCCCCCCCACCACCACCACCACCACAACCCAATCCAACCAATTATTAATAATTAAAATCGCTTTCTGTTAAGTCGTCTTAGCAATATTAAGGACCAATGGAATGATTTGTAGATATCAATTTAATTTTACTTTTTACAATTTCTCTCCATGCCTTACTGTTTTAAGGATAATATAGAAAAAAACATAAAAAATTCATAAATTCATTATAAAAAAACAATTTCTCTATTATGGAGTCTTTTGGTGTTTCAGTAATATTAGCATTTGTTTAAATCTTCTATTGGTGATCCCTTTTACTGTTAACAGTTTATGTCTGCATACCAGACTTTTCGAGATAAAAAGCAAAAACACAATTCATGTCATTAAAGGGAAATAACTCATAGAAGGAGTCAGTTAATTGATGGATTCAATCAATAAACCATTTTGTATTTCTTTTATTTTGGGACTCTTTTGCTGTTTCGAGTGTCTCTTTTATTGTTATACTTTTTAAGAAAAAACTCATAAACACAAAAACTTGTTATTAAGGGCAATAACTCATTTAAGGAGCCAATTGATGACTTAATCATTCAGCATTTTTTTTAGATCTTGTATTGCTGATAACTTTTTTTCGGTTTCCGTCTGAATATTATACTACCAAGATAATATTTGAAAATGCTAAATTTTGTGAAAAATCCGTCATTTTGCTTCATTTATTGTCAATTAATTATCGGCCTATAAATATGCTTCAAATATCGCGCCTAAACTTTAAGTACATCTTGCCTTTTATGTTACAAATATTGAATCTCAAAACTTTTTAATATAAGGTAACTGATTACAAAGACAACCATCAGGAAAACTTCAGCAATAGATCGCCATAACGATAACGGCCGTATTGTTTTAAAACAATTCGGACCAATGTGGTAGAAAAATAGTTCCAATACATGTTTAAACGGTGATCCAAATACAAATGTGTTATGAATAAACGTTTAAAAATAATTATTTAATTACTTTGTTATTGCTTTGAACTTGTTGTCTTATCAAGTAATTAAAAGGAATGGGTTTTATTACGTGAGAAATAAATCTTCAAAGAGGTTTATCCTGGATATGATAAGTAATTAACAAGAATGTGGAAAGGTTACGAATCATATCATTTAGTGGGTATTAGCCAATACATTGTGCGTCACATAAAACCTAAGCCGAAAGTAGTAAAACAGAACAGAGAAAAAAAACAGTTGATCACAGGGTTGATTTAGAAGTATTTTCCTATTCGAAAAGAAAATGAGGACGACTTTCTCGTTATTGCTGACTTACTTTTTGCATTTAACAACACCTCATATTGGTTGGACAATACCACTAAATAATTCTGATGACGCTATGGTGGAGATGCCTTTAGTTACAAATAACATGAAAGCACCACTGGTGGCGGATCTCGATGTTTCTTCTTTAAACAAACAACTAAAGCTCTATATAGATATAGCTATTTCTACAACATTTACTAGTAAAGTTAAGGAGATTGTTGAACATAGCCAAGATGAACTTAGAACTACAATGTTGACAACCTATAAGGAAAGGTTACAGGAATCAAAGACTGTGTATGAGGAGGATTTAGCTCATTTGGTTGACGGATTTAAATCTCGATTAGGAAGTCTATTCAGTGATTTGACGGAAAACGTTACAGATTTGATAGATAATTTAGAAGAATGGAAGAAAGGCTACACTCAAACAATTTCAGGTATAGTTTTTTTTCGCTAAATTGTTCGAATTGATACAATAAATTAAAAACTATCCGAAGATATCTTAGGAGCAGTTGTTTCTATTGAAAATATCAGGAATTTTAAAATGAAAAATAATGAGTAATTATACAGACAATTTTAAGGTTTATTAAACCAAGGTATGTTTTACTAGTAGAAGACAATTTTCAGTTTTTATGGACTTCCCCTTTTTGAAAATGCCTAGGAGTTCGGTACTTTTGTTATACTTTTTTCATCCCTTCAAATTATATGTATTTAAAAATAAGAAGATGTGGTATGATTGACAATGAAACAAATATCCACCAGAGACAAAATGACATAGAAGTTAACAACTATAGGTCACCGTACGGCCTTTAACAATGAGCAAATCCCATACCGCATAGTCATCTATAAAAGGCCCCGAAATGACAAATGTAAAACAATTCAAACGAGAAAATTAACGGCCTGATTTCTGGATAAATCAAATAACGAAAAAACAAATATGATACACAGCAACAAACGACAATTACTGAATTACAGGCTCCTGACTTGGGACAGGCACATACATAATGTGGCGGGGTTAAATCTTGTTTGAAGGCGCCAAACCCTCCCCTTAACCTGGGATTGTGGTGTAACAGTACAACATAAGAACAAACTATATACTCAGTTGAAAAGGGCTAAACTCATCAGATAGATACAAAGCAGAAAGACATCAAACAAAATCACAGAACGGACATGGCAGGGAATTTATACATCCCAAAAACAAAAAAGACACCAAGTACAGATCTCAGAGTACTCGCACTTACTGACAGCTAGTTCAAAGCCAATAACAACTAATAAAAAAATTATGCATCTTAGACTAAAATATCAATCAGTACACATCCAATGCATTTAGTGTAAAGACGTCATTAACAGTCAGAGAGAAAAAAACATGACCTTGTGCAATACTAAGATACAGGTATCGACAGATTGTAGAGCCATGAATGTATTTCATATATCAATTTCCCGTTATTTTGTACGGAAAGTAATTTTTAATATTACTAAACCTAATTTGTACTGATTGCTTTATCTATATTTTACATGATACATATTTATTATAAGGTTAAATCCTAACGATCCTACTGCCTGTCGATACTTTTATTTTGGCATTGCACAAGTCATGTCTTCTTTGACTGTCCATGGCGTTAAAACACTAAATCCATGGATGTGTTTTAATTGATTTTAGTCTCTGATGCATGATTTTTTATTGTTAATTGTTTTGGCTTTTTACTAGCTTTCAGTAACTGCGAGTACTCTCAAATCGTACTTTCGTGTTCATTTGACCTGTTGACACAACTTGTAATGCATTTCTGTAATTCAATGTTTACTTAATTTGTGTTATATCTCGTCTCACTTTTTTATAATATGTACACCCTTTGATAAGTATTTATTATGACGATAAATTTCACTTCTGTACTCGTACTCTGAACAACAAATTTATTGATTTTGTAAAATAAATGTTTACTTCCGTACTCCTAACAACAAAATTATTATATTTAAATTTACCTGTGTACGTTGTTTTATTAAACGCCATTTTGTCCAAGGTAAGAGTTGTCTTCTTAACACTCTTCCTACATCTTTTTTATTACTAACTGTAACGTCTATGTTATATAGGCACCTACGTTTTAATTTTGTATTGATATTGTGTCATAGATCAAACTTATTCGTTTGTTGTATGTTTACTTGTTTTTGTTTAAATGTCTTTTTGATCGAGGTAAGCCACTTCAATTGATATTTTTTAGTGTGTCTTTATATGTTGTAATGTTACGCTACTGTCTCGGATTAGGTTGAAGGTTGACGCCTGTTAAAACCTTTAAACATGCTGCATTTTTATGCACCTGTCCTAAGTCAGGAGCCTGTTGTTCAGTGGTTGTCGTTTGTTGGTGTTGTTCATAGGTGTTTCTCATTTCTCGTTTTTTATATAGATTAGACCGTTGGTTTTCCTGTTCAAATTGTTTTACACTATTGTTTTGGGGCCCTTTATAGCTTGCTGTTCGGTGTGAGCCAAGGCTCCGTGTTGAAGGCCGTACTTTGACCTATAATTGTTAACTTTTTATACATTGCGACTTGGATGGAGAGTTGTCTCATTGGCACTTATACCACATCTTCTTATTTATATTATGTTGTACTTTCGGAGTTTTTTTGTAAAGTAATTCTCGTAATTTTCAATTTAAGGTACCTTTATACTAACGTCTTCAATATTTGTATGCATATTTGTCGCAAAATTTAATAACTGTATTTTTCCAACAGAGAAATACAGACCTGTGAATTTACCAAGAGACTGTACTGACATAAAAAAAAGTAATACGAAAAGTGGCGTTTATACAATATACCCAGATAATGTTAATGGTATAAAAGTCTATTGTGACATGGATGTGGATGGCGGTGGCTGGATCGTAAGTTTATTGGTTTAGATACTAAAGATTTCCTGTTTTAAGGGGGTGCCCAGTACTATGACTAAAATAGATTCGGCGCGTTTAATTTTAATAAAAGTTTGACAAAATATTTACTTTGACCTGTTGACAAAAATATAAACATTTCAAGAAATTTGAACCACACAATTTACTGGAATAATTTCATGGAATATGTAACAGTTTGACAAACACTTATTGTGATTATTGAGAAGCTTGGTTTCTCATTACTTATAGGTAGGGATTAAAACGTTCAGCTAATTTTTAAGAGCTAACTCCCTTAGGTGTTCTGTAACCTCTTTATTTGAATATCATCATTCCAGTCAGATATTGTTAATTGAAAGAAATGTAAGGTATACATTTGTCCATACAATATGACAAGCTCTAAATCATCCCGAGTCTAAAAAGCTTGTGTATAAAGTAAACAGGACAGTTGTCTCATTGGCAATCATACCACATCTTCTTTTTATAGAAACAATCAAAGGTCAATCCTCAATACAAATATAAACAAATTAATCTTCCAGATAACAAAAACAACCTGACATAATATACGATGTCTATATATCTTACGTTCATTAAATTTTGAGACGTCACTGCAAACACGCTTACCGAACCAGAAGAGAATGTACATTCCATCAAAATGACTCAACGTTATAGCATTATCAAGAAAAGGAAAAATAACAATAGAAAGTTGTCTTAAATTTTTGTATGAATATTGTTTCACCCCTTAAAATTCGACTATCTAGGTTTTAAAAAAGACGCGAGTTTAGTATGACTTCCATTATCACAGAACTAGTATACATATTTGTTTAGGGGCCAGCTGAAGGACGCCTCCGGGTGCGGGAGTTTCTCGCTGCATTGAAGACCCATTGGTGGCCTTCGGCTGTTGTCTGCTCTATGGTCTTTGACACATTCCCCATTTCCATTCTCAATTTTATTGATTTTGTAAAAATGCGTTCAGATGGATCATTTGTATATAGCAAAAAATCGGATTGTTTACATAGAATATATCATCTAAATTTATGCAAGTTTTATTAGAAAAATGAATTAAATGTATTTAGTTTTGGCATAAATACAAATTGTGTTTCATAACCGTACAGGAATACATCTAGAATTAGAGGAGCACAGTAAGTTCCTATCGTGTGTAAAACAGACTGTCGTAGAGTTCTTATGATTTTTTCCAACAGAGAAACCAATTCAGTGTAATATGATTTTTGTCGAGCCTACGACTTCTGTAGCAGAAAACGAGACATAGGATCAATGATCCAGCGGCGTAAACTAACTACTTAAAAGCTTAATATTTCAGAAGATAGAAGACCTGTATGCTTCAAACTTTGTATATAGATGCCTTATGTTATGAAGTTTTCATCTGCCATATGTCTATTGTCCTTGGCCTCATTTTCATGGTTCAGTGACTCCTTGAAAAAAAAATAAGATTTTTTGTAATGTTAATTTCCCTCTTATTATGAGTAATAGGATACCTATATTTGGTATGTGCATACCTTGCAAGGTCCTCATGTCGGTTTTCACTTGACCTCGACCTCATTTCATGGATCAGTGAACAAGGTTAAATTTCGTGGTCAAGTCCATATCTCAGATACTATAAGCAATAGGTCTACTATGTTCACTGTGTCTAAACTACCCCGGCGAAAAATGTTTGGACTCAATAGTATCTAATGTCCGGTACGGTCACGGACAATCAACACACAGAGAAAGGTAGAAATTCTGTTTATTTATATGTTGTTTTAATGATATTGAAGAATATACATACATATATAACTAATTTCGATAGTGTGATGTAATATTTTCTACAACCGTTCTAGATTTATGGAAAAATAAGTAAAAAGGCACATCAAAATGGTGAATTGAGTGAACCCTGCCTCGAATTTGTTTACTTTCTCTTTAAATTGAGCACATTGTACGGAAAGAAAGATATTAACTCGGTGATTTCAAGACTTGTCACTATGAACACCTCAATATTTGCATGTATGTGAATGGAATGAAAGAAGTGGGTCATGTCAAAATTGAAGCACCCGGTTTTGTCAATGTGTACGACCCGGTTTTGCCCTTAAATTTCACAAAGCAGACCCGGTTTTGTCATAGAAAATAATGCATAATCGCATGACGAAAATTAAAATATGGCGTTCAACAGCAGTTTGAGGGATCGTTGAAAAATATTTTCTTTCAGAGGATAACTTATAACCTTTATGAATCCGTAAACACTTGAATTCCTGCTATATTAGAACAAAGCAAATGTCAATTTTGTTTTGTATATAAAAAAAAGGAAAAATTAAAAAGAAATGAAGGTTTTGTAACGCAATTAGATTTTTTTATATGTAAATTTGAGTGTTCAAACTTAAATAGTGTACGGCCTTGAAAACTTAAGGACGCACATTTGATATGTGATTTTCTGGGACAACAAGATGGCGGACCGAGGCCAATGATTTTTGAAAGGAGCGTATTCATAAACAGATTTTATACCGCCGAGCGTAGCAAGGGGAACTTTTTTCTAACGATTTTATGCTAAAAAAAATCATATATAAATCGTAAAAAAAAAAAGATAAAATAATTATTTCTAGCCACCAAAAAGGGGGGGCGTACTCCCTCTACCCCTAAATCCGCCACTGATATAATGTAACTATATCGTATACCATCATAAAATTTAATAAAAGACGAAAAAACAGAGACAGCCGCCAATCGCATATTTACTATAGGGGCTCTGTAATCGAATGAGTTAAGCCTTTTTCAACTCACTTAATTTTTTTTCATATGTTGTGCTGTTATACCAGTTTTTTTCTTGTTGTTTTTTTTTGGGGGGGGGGTGGGGGGAGGGGGCGCTTACACGTTCAACCCCACAATTCTGGATGTGCCAGTACCAAATCCAGGAGCCTGTAAATCGGTGGTTGTCTTTTGTTGCTTAATATCATACATGTATTTGTTTTTCGTTTTTTATTTTGTACATAAATCAGGTCGTTAGTTTTCACATTAGTTTTTTTTTCACAGTTTTCATTTCGGGGCCTTTTTTTAGCTTGCTATGCCGTATGGGTGTTTCTCATTGTTGGATGCCATACGGAGTTCTATATTTGTTAACTTTTACGTCATTTGGTCTCTGATGGAAAGCTGTCTAATTGTCATTTTTCACGGGCTAAATTGCCACTTAGGTTGTTCTACGAAGACGAAGATATTGGACGTTATGATGTTACAACCCAACTTTTTTTTATAAAAAGAAATAATTCTTTCATGCCATACTCAATGCTCATTTTAACATACTTAGGTAGGCATTATATTTGTTAAAATTTTTAAACCAAGCGTTAGCAAGGTATAAAATATTGACAAATATAATGCCTACCTACCCATGTTAAAATGAGCGTAGAGCATGGCATGATATGAGTATTTCGTTTGCAATAGGAAAGTTTAGTACTTGTGTATTTTGAAGCGGACATAAAATACACGTTCGAAAGGCAATCATTTGATCTGAGATATCCAAAACGTTCTAATAGATATAAGAAGATGTGGTATGAGTGCCAATGAGACAACTCTCCATCCAAGTCACAATTTGTAAAAGTAAACCATTGAATGCTATATACATATACCTTATTGAACTTATCTTCGAACTAAATTTAAATGGAAATAAATAAAAATGTCAAAGTACGGCCTTCAAAACGGAGCTTTTTCTCTCACTGTCCGTCAATAGATGAACGAATGAGTAAATATATTGTAAACATAGCGTATAGTATAGTAAAGCATACTATCCTTACTCTTTTGATAAATTGATATGGTAACACAATCATTCTACATCTTCTTATTTTTACATCATTACAGTAGTATAGAAAATAAACAAACATTTGTGAGATGTATTTCTATTTGTATCCATCTGATGAGTTAAGCCTTTTTCAACTGATTTTTATAGTTCGTTCTTATGTTGTACTGTTACACCAATTTCCCAGGTAAGGGGGAGGGTTGGGATCCCGCTAACATGTTTAACCCCACCATATTCCGTATATATGTACCTGTCCTAAGTCAGGAGCCTGTAATTCAGTGGTTGTCGTTTGTTGCTGTGTTACATATTTGTTTTTCGTTTTTTACGTACATAATTGAAACCGTTAGTTTCCTCGTTTGAATTGTTTTACAAATGTCAATTCGGGGCCTTTTATAGCTGACTATGTGGTATGGGCTTTGCTCATTGTTGAAGGCCGAACGGTGACCTATAGTTGTTAATTTCTGTGTCATTTTGGTCTCTTGTGAAGAGCTGTCTCATTGGCAATCACATCACATCTTCTTTTTATATCATAAGGAATTAATGTAAGTACATGCTATAAAGTGTTTATTTTCATTTAAGTTTAGTTTGAAGATAAGTTCAATAAAGTATACGTATAGCATTCAAAAATGTCTACTCCCTTTTTCGAAAAGTTCCCGTTTGAAATATATTTTAACACGACATGTTTGTATTGCAATAACATCTTTATAACATCTTTTTGACTCACATATTTAATTTCTTCCGATGGGCAATGTTCAGAACCGTGTTAACGTAGCTTTTCATAAATTCTTGGTTTCAAAACAAAGCAAAACCGGGTCCTATAATGAGACAAAACCGAGTCCTTAAGTAATAAACAACATTGACGAAACAGGGTCCTTCCATTTTGACATGACCCATTTCTTTCGTTCCATGCACAGAAATGCAAATATTGAGGTGCTCATAGTGACTAGCCATGCAATCTCTGTGTTAATATCTTTCTTTCCGTACTTTTCTTCCCGTACGATGTGCACAATTTAAAAAGAAATTAAACAAATTCGTAGCAAGGTTCACTCAATTCATCATTTTCATGTGCCTTTTTACTTATTTCTCCATTAATCTAGATCGGTTGTAGAAAATATTACATCACACAATCGAAAATAGTTATATGTGTATGTTTATTCTTCAATGTCATTAAAAAACAAATAAATAAACAGAAATTTTACCTTTTCTCTGTGTGTTGATTGTCGGACATCAGATACTATCGAGTCCAAACATTTTTTGCCGGAGTAGTTTAGACACAGTGATGTTTGGTGTATGGAATGATTGTAAGGTGTACATGTCCAACTTGCAGGTGTCATCTGACCTTGTTCTCATTTTCAGGTTTCAGTGGTTAAAATCAAGTTTTTGTGTTTTGGTCTGTTTTTCTAAAATTGTATGCAATAGGTCAACGATGTCAGTCTGGCAGGTTTTATTTGAACTTGACCTAATTTTTACAGTTCATTGCTCAATGTCAAATTTTGTGTTTTGGTCTGTTTTTCTTAAACTATTAGCAATAGGTCAACTATATTTCGTTTATGGAATTATTGTAAGGTGTACATGTCTGTCTGGCAGTTATCATCTGACCTTGACCTCATTTTCATAGTTCATTGGTCAATGTTAAGTTTCCTTGGGTAAGTTTGTTTCTTAGATACTATATGCAAAGATGAACTATATATAAAGCATAGAATGATTGTAAGATGTACACGTCTGTCTGGCAGGGTTCATCTGATCTTCACCTCATTTTTAGGGTTCAGTGGTTAAAATCAAGTTTTGTGTTTTGGTCTGTTTTTCTACTACTGTATGCTATAGGTCAACTATATTTGGTGTATGGAAATATTTTACGATGTACATGTCAGTCTGGCAGGTTTTATTTGACCTTGACCTCATTTTTACAGTCCATTGCTCCAAGTCAAATTTTGTGTTTTGGTCTGTTTTTCTTAAACTATATGCAATAGGTCAACTATATTTGGTTTGTGGAATTATTGTAAGGTGTACATGTCTGCCTGGCAGTATCATCTGCCCTTGACCTCATTTTCATGGTTCATTGGTCAATGTTAAATTTTCTTGGGTAAGTTTGTTTCTTAGATACTATATGCAATAGGTCAACCAAATCTAAAGCATGGAATGATTGTTAGATGTACACGTCTGTCTGGCAGGGTTCATCTGACCTTCACCTCATTTTAATGGTTCATTGGTCAATATAAAGATTTCATAGTTTGGTCTGTTTCTTGTATACTATATAGAGATCAACTATATTTGGTGTATGGAATGATTGTAAGGTGTAAATGTATTTCTGTCTTGGTTTATCTGACATTTACCTCATTTTCTTTGATCATGTTAAGTGTTTGTGATACTTGTAGTAAAATTTTATATTTAGGACTATCAACATAAAATCATTGGTCAGTAAAGCAGGCGAGACATTTCAGCGTGTCCACACTTGTATAAGATAGTTATATATTTTTTGAATTTGTTTAATATTTGGTTTTTATTTTTTTTTTCAAATCCAACATTTCGAAGGATTGTAAGGTTCAAATGAAGATAATATACACAGAAAATCATAAAAATTATTCTATTGCCATATCATCAAAATGAAAAAGATAATAGCAATATAATATTCAAGTGCTGATATAAGCCAATTCTTCTATTAAATTAGACCATAAATAAAAGATGAAACACGTTTTACTTTTATGGCCAATTTTATCACAAGCTATTTATTTCTTATTTGAAAGATAAACATATAGCTTGCTGTTCGGTGTGAGCCAAGGCTCCGTGTTGAAGGCCGTACTTTGACCTATAATGGTTTACTTTTACAAATTGTGACTTGGATGGAGCGTTGTCTCATTGGCACTCATACCACATCTTCTTATATCTATTATTATTTTACGGTGTGATTTGTATTCAAGGTAACATCACTTTTTTTATCATATTGTATCTGCTAATATCTTATCTCGAACATCACTGAAGAGACAAAAGTTGTTGAAATGCGCATCAATACAATTAGCACCTTTAATGTTATCCATTTTTTAAATGTTTTTTAATAGGTTATTTATATTTGTACAGCTGTTCAAATCTGAGAAAAGTTAACAAGACTGCACTTTAGAAAGCCTTCAAATCGAAAAAAAAATCATGTAAAGCCAAATAAAACCATAAAAAGATTAATAATTGGTTTGCATCATTCGACATTTTAACACAAACTTAAAGAAACAATTAATACATTGTACCTTGTGTTTAAAAAGGTAATCCAAAGACGGTCAGAACGCAAGGTGAAATTTGAGAGAACTTGGAACGAATATGAAAATGGTTTCGGAGAGGTCGCCGGAGAACATTGGCTTGGTAAGTGCTTATCTTAAAAATGTGTGTTGATTTGGATTAAGTATTTTTGTTGGTGTTCGCGTTCTCGCCTTGAGTGCCAAACCTTTAACGTAATCAGTGAACCGCGGAATATAGGTCAAACATTTAAACGTGATACGAGACTGACGGACGGACGAATGGATGGAATGACGTGCGAACGGACGCACGTGCACACAGACCGGAAAACATAATACCACCCTACTGTCGGTCGTTGTCGGGTGGACTAGGTCATTTTTTTTCTCTAACTGTAAAGTCTGTATGTTAAATCCATTGGATGTTGAATGCGTACTGATTGATATTTAAGTCTTAGATACATGATATTTTTATTAGTTGTTATTGTCTTTGAAATAGCTTTCAGTAAAAGCTAGCAATCACAGATCTGTTCTTTGTGTCTTTCGTATAAAAATAATGTTTAAAGTCTTCAATTCTTGGGAATCTTTATTATTTTGAATCTAACCCTGTATTTAGAGATGTGGTATGATTGCCAACTAGACAACTATCCACCAAAGTTCAAATAAAGTGGATGTAAGCAATTATAGGCAACCTTACGGTCTTCAACAATGAGAAAAAACCGTACCGTGTAGTCGGCTATAAAAGGCCCCGACATGAAAAAATATGAAACAATTCAATTGAGAAAACTAACGGCCTACTTAATAACAAAACAATTCACGAAAAACAAATATGACAGACATGAACCAACGGCAACCACTGAACTACAGGCTCCTGACTTGGGACAGGCACATAAAGAATGTGGCGGGTTTAAACATGTTTGTGAGCACTCAAACCTCCCCCTAACCTGGGACAGTGGTGTAACAGCACAATATGAGAACAAACTACAAAAATCTGTTGAAAAAGACTCAACTCATCAGATCGGTACAAAAAAGAAAAACATCAAACGAAAACGCAGACCGGACGTGGCAGGGTATTCATCCATGCCTCATGCCTAACAACAAAAAGGACACAAAGTACATATCTGAGAGTACTCGCAGTTACTGACAGCTAGTTCAAAGCCAATAACAACTTATAAAAAAACTCATATATCTAAGGCTAAAATATCAGTCAGTACACATCCAACATCCAATGGATTTAGTCATTAACAGTCAGAGAAAAATATGACCTTGTGCTCTATATCAATCTGATGACTTAATAGATATAAGAAGATGTGGTATGAGTGCCAATGAGACAACTCTCCATCCAAGTCAAAATTTATAAAAGTAAACCATTATAGGTCAAAGCACGGTCTTCAACACGGAGCCTTGGTTCACACCGAACAGCAAGCTATAAAGGGCCCAAAAATTACTAGTGTAAAACCATTCAAACGAGAAAACCAACGGTCTAATCTATATAAATAACGAGAAACGAGAAACACTTATGAAACACATCAACAAACGACAACTACTGAACATCAGATTCCTGACTTAGTACAAAAAAACAATATGCTTGAACAAAAATATCAGCCATTTGCAATTACTTTAAACACAGGTAAATGAATATATAGACCAGATATAACCCTGAATAACATTAAATAACAAAAAAGCATTACAATTAGTATCAACAGGTCAAATAAACAAGAACGTACGATTTGAGAGTACTCGCAGTTACTGACAGCTAGTCAAAAGCCAAAAACAATTAATGATAAAAAATCATGCATCAGAGACTAAGTCCTTTTTCAACTGATTTTTATAGGGTTTTTTTTCTGATGTTGTACCGTTATACCACTGTCCAAGGTTAGGGGGTTTAGCGCTAGAAAACATGTTTAACCCCGCCACTCTCTAAGTGCCTGTCCGAAGTCAGTTTTTTGTTTTGTACATAAATCAGGCCGTAAGTTTTCTCTTTTTCATTTGTTTTGCGTTTGTCATTTCGGGTCACTTTATAGCTTACTATGTGGTATGGGTCTTGGTTATTATTGAAGGCCGTACGGTGACCTATAGTTGTTAACTTTTAAGTCATTTGATCTCTGGTGGAGAGTTGTCTCATTGGCAATCATACTACATGTTCTTATTTTGATATGATAATAATCATCAACAGGATAACAACAAAAAATAAATTCCAAGACATCTTCTTTGTAAATTAAAAATCTTTTGTATTGATTCTTGTTTGTTTGTTCTGTATTGTTAAATAATTGTTCAAAACCATTAAGCGTTTTGGATGAAGCAAGATTAAATTATTCATTAAATGATTATTTTAGTATACACAATTTCATGAGTGTTACTTATTTTATGGAATATTAACACTTCTTCGAATAAACTAAAGAAGTCGTCTAAAACCATACTGTGAAAGATTTTCTAATTGTCAAGGGACATAGCTCTAAAATGGAAGCAGCATTATAGCATAAATTCTAAATATTGTCAACAAAGAAGCTTAAAATCAAGTCACACTCAAGCTACCATCTGGAGATCATTTGTTTCAAAGGTTACGGGGAAAATCGGAAGTAGAGACAACATAACGATTATGTTAAAAAAAAACAATTCTCCATTTTTCTCAGCGTGTATAATGATTTGGAAATAAATGGAATATTGACCTTTTATTTGATTTATTGTATGCTCTGACAAACATTGCACTATCATGCAAAGGCAGTTATTTGTAAACAAATATTACTGAAAAATGTATTTTACTATTTGTTTTGAAATATTAATTGAATAAGTGTCCGAAACTTAGTGTTTTGGGTAATTTTTCTCATTTTTGACTAGCACTTCCGCTCCTTTTTTGAAAGTCTTTGATCCGCGATTTAATTACGAGCTCAAATTAAATAATTGAAATTCTAACTCGAAGGGTAACTCGAAACGCAAATTCTAAATAGAACTTTACCTCAAACTCTAACTCGAACTTTAACTCAAACTCTAGCTCAAACTTTTACTCAAACTCTTAACTTGATGGTTAGCCACATTCCTAATATATAATTTAAACAACCAAACTACTAATTCAGAAGACACCATTTCATGTGAATACTTATTTTTCTTTTTGGCTGAAGAGGTTAGTGTGTTTCTGATAAAAATAGAAGTCTTTGTTTTTCAACAAACAATCGGCATTCCCATCGGAACCAACTTTGCTCCTCCTCTTGCCGAATTGTTCTTATATTCATACGAGTCTAATTTCATACAGGAACCTCTTAAGAAGAAGGAAAAGAAGCTAGCAGTATCCTTTAACTTTTACTTTCCGCTATATAGATGATGTTCTCTCACTAAATAACTCAAAATTTAGTGACTATGTTGAACACAACTATCCCATCGAACTTGAGATCAAGGATACAATAGATACAATTAAGTCTGTCTCATATCGACTTACATCTAAAAATTGACAATGAGGGTCGGTTGAAAAAACAACTTTACGACAAAAATGTTGATTTCAGATTCCCAATTGTGAACTTTCCATTTCTATGTAGCATCATTCGAGTAGCGCCTGCATACGGAGTATATATCTCCCAGTTGGTACGATAATCCAGGGCTTGTATTTCCTATCACGATTTCTTCGATAGAGGGTTGCTGCTCACAAGGAAGCTATTAAAGCAAGAGTTCCAGGTGGAGAAGTTGCAGTCATCCCTTCGTAAATTTTACGGACGCCATCACGAAGTTGGTTGACCGTTAATGAATATCCGTTTCACAGATGATAGCGGATATTTTCCAATTGTCGTAACAAAAATCCAGTCCCCCTTTCCCCGAATGTGAACTACCGAATTAGACTTATAACCGGGTTTGTATTAACATTAGCAACACGACGGGTGCCACCTGTGGAGCAGGATCTGCTTACCCTACGATCACCCCAAGTTTTTGGTGGGGTTCGTGTTGCTCAGTCTTTAGTTTTCTATGTTGTGTTTTGTGTACTGTTGTTTGTCTGTTTGTCTTTTTCTTTTTTAGCCATGGCGTTGTCAATTTATTTTTGACTTATGAGTTTGAAGGTCACTTTGGTATCTTTCGCCTCTCTTTGATAACGCTGAGCATGTTAATGTAAAAGATTACATGCTATCCTTTTAAAGCAAAATACAAAACGATATCAATGATGGTTTTAATAAAGGTCTGTTTCCTGACTTGATTCACGTACAATATGCTAGAATCTTTAGTGTTCGGTATTGTCTAGCTGTTGTGGTACTAGTTTTTGCTATAAATGCTACACTATAAAAATAAGAAGATGTGGTATGATTGCAACTGAAACAACTCTCCACCAGAGACAAAATGACATAGAAGTTTACAACTATTGGGCACCGTACGGTCTTCAACAATGAGCAAATCCCATACCGCATAGTCAGCTATAAAAGGTTCCGAAATGACAAATGTAAAACAATTCAAACGAGAAAACTAACGGTCTAATTTACGTACAAAACAATGAACGAAAAACAAATGTGATATACAAGGACAAACGACACCCACTGAATTGCAAGCTCCTGACTTTGGACAGGCACATACAGAATGTACAGGGTTTAAACTAGTTTGTTGGCGCCAAACGCACCCCCTAACAATGGACAGTGGTGTAACAGTACAACATAAGAACAAACTATACACATCAATAGAAAAGGGTTGAACTCATCAGATCGATACAAAGCAGAAAACATCTAACAAATAAACAGACTGGGCGTGGCAGGTTATTTATACATCCCAACAACAACAAAAAACACTAAGTACAGATCTGGGAGTACTCTCAGTTACATACGGCTATTTTAAAGCCAATAACAACTAATAAAAAAATCATGCATTTAAGACTAAAATATAAATCAGTACACATTCAACATCGAATGGATCAAGACGTCATTGACAGTCAGAGAAAAACATGACCTTTTGTAATGCCAAGATACAGGTATCAACAGATTGAAGAGCCATTAATGTGCATATGTATATAAACATAATTTTTAGTTTGATTTTAATTTACAGATATCAAAAACAGTATTTATACCAATAAAAACAATATTCAAAGATCTAATTAAGTACTTAATTGGTAACCTTTAAGTTTATGTAAAGGATCGATAATGTTCAGAAGAGGCCTTAAGTTGTGATGTGGTTATGATATGACTGTTTGCTATATGACTCTCTGTGGAGCGCACGGACTTGAATGTAGAAGAGTTTAAAATTTCATTCTTAAGAACTTCCGTGTCGTATTTACGTCATTCTACCACCGCATTGTTGGCTGCTTTGTCGGCCGGTAAACTCAAAAGTTTGTTTGTTATTCTAGAAATAGGTATATTATGTACTCTTTTATTTATTTCTAAATTATTTTCAAAATGTGATATTCGAATATCCACAACATTCATTTAAATAAGAATGAAGAGATTATTTATCGGATTTTTTCCCGTTTACACCAATTTTTTAAATACGACGAAAAAGCGTCTTTTATGACCTGACGATACTGTTTCTAATCTATTTTAGATGGAGGACGATATTTTGGTCCTTTTTTCAAAAAGTTTAACTCTCGGTCTTGAACGATATTTAGGCTCCCGTAATAACATGGCCTTAGGGATCATATCTAAAATTCGACGATTCACAGTCTCAAGTTAGATGTGTATTATTTTCTACTCTGACGTCTTATGTTACTGACGTATAATTAAAAATCAACCTTCTGCTGGGTTTTTTGTATGTATAAGAAATAATAGGTTGTTCTGTGTTATCAAATAGAGAGGTAATAAGTTTTGAATCATTAAATATACTCGATAAGTTGATAAGTTGATAAAATTAATACCTCTGTTAATATATTTAATTTTCAGAAAATGCCGTTTATGATCTTCAGGTTTATCGATACTCGGAAACATTCTAAGTATGGTGACAAAAAGCTGTCATTATATATAAAGGCAACAGTAGTATACCGTTGTTCAATAGTCATAAATCGATTGAGAGGAAACAAATCTGGGTTAAAAAAATAAAACCGAGGGAAACATATCAACTATAAAAGGAAAACAACGGAACAACAGAAACACTGAACTACAACAAAAGCAAACACCAACTTACATAGAAACTGTCTGATAACAACTGCCATATTCCTGACTTCATATAGGACATTTTAAGAAAAAAATGGTGGGTTGAACCTGGTTCTTTGGCTAGCCAAACCTCCCGTTTACATGACAATGTTAAAAAATACCGCTAAAATGACAGGAATAAAGTACAAACAAACGCAAGAACACTCAGCACAGAGAAATACATAAATAAACAATATGATAAAAGTACATTAAAACATGTAAACCTCAGAATAACAACTGACACCCCCCCCCCCATGAATTTACGACAGCACACCATGCAGGACACCACATATATACGCAAATATTTATAGAGTGGGTTGAAAAAGGAGATTGTGTCACTCTCCTTGAAAATATCACGTATGATTTACTAATTTGTATTTGACCAAGTTTACATAATAATTGATATCTACCATTGTTTTTAAATATAAATAGGAGACCATCAAGTGTATAATTTATACGATGTTTAATTCGTTGATTTCGATTGATACGTTAGCCATGCGACCTATTATTACGTTGTCTTAATCAACAATATTCATGATATCAATAGATGAAGATTTGGATATGTCCCTTTGTCCCATTATATTGTCATTTAGACATAGGGGTTATGCTTTCTGCAGTCGTTTAATCCAAGACAGTTCGATGATTTTACGGGAATCTTCAAATTGTTTATGCGATTGCCCTTGTTGTTTCTGGATCGTTTCGAGTGGTTGGAATTTTTTATAATTTAATATTGTGATTGTGTTTTCCTCAATGTTGATAAATTATACGTTTTAATTTCTTAGGTTTTCGGAAGAGGTATAGGTTTCCTGTGTTCGATTTAAAAAAATTCCCGTCCTGTTAGTCATACATATTGTATACCGCACTTAGGCTTTGTTCAAGTAACCAAATAAATTAGTCTTTGAGTTTTTGTCCCCCGCGCAACGCGTTGTGGGGGACATAGAAATACCGGGCGGCCGTCCGGTCTTGTTCATGTAATGTCACAGGAAAAGGAGAGCGAAAAAGCTCTCCAGTTCACTGTTGATCTAACAGTACTAGTATTATTAGAAGATAATATAGAGCCGAATAGTCATTTTCTGGCATTGCACGGAAATATTTGTGGATATCCACGTGCATTTTTATTTAATAATCTGGCTGCAGCGACACAATTGTGAAAAGTGCTAAATTTAGAAGGGGAATTTCTATTGACGGCGGTTGAATTAATATTTGGAATGTGGTTTTGAGCACGTGAATATCCCAGAAGAGTGGTGTATTTAGTTTTCTTGCAATTTCGTAAAATCATGATTATATAAAGGGGAATGAGAAATTTAATTGAGTCCGAAAGTCATAATATTGAATAAGGATTGAAATAACGGAATATATAAACAATTTATACAGCAGTCGAAGATTTCTTATAAAAACTATAATGAATAAACAACAGAATGACATTAGTAAAACAACATAGACATAGGAATCTGATGTTCAGTGGTTGTCGTTTGTTGATGTGGTTCATAAGTGTTTCTCGTTTTTTATATAGATTAGACCGTTGGTTTTCCCGTTTGAATGGTTTTACACTAGTCATCTTTGTGGCCCTTTATATCTTGCTGTTCAGTGTGAGCCAAGGCTCCGTGTTGAAGACCGTACTATGACCTATAATGGTTTACTTTTATAAATTTTGACTTGGATGGAGAGTTGTCTCATTGGCACTCATACCACATCTTCTTATATCTATATAACAAACACTGGCCCGAGAAAACAGTTATTTGGTAGTGCATTTCTTTTAGACAGAAAACCCAAACTTTAAAAATCGCACCTGCTCTATCTAAAAAGATTTTTACAGTGTAGTGTACTACATTTGGGACAAATTATAGAAAAATTATAGAAAAGTCTATAGCTGAAACTCAACATATGTACGATTTAATGTTAAGTAGGTCTTTCATTAAGTTTGGTAGCTTCAGACATACTATTTTTTTACCTTTTCAAACTAGACCAAATCACTACTTTACCTACAAATTCATACTCCAAATTGTATTTACATGTAAATTCACCCCCAACTAACTGTTTTATGAATAAAATATAAATAAATAAAATTGGAAGGTGTATGAAAATTTTTCTTGCTAATTATACACTGTCCACATTAGGGATTCTATTCGACAACGAAAATCAAAGGACGATAACTGACCTAATACAAGGCAAATACAGTATGATATAAGTATTTTTAGTAAAACCATAGAATGTAGCAGGGATAAAACACAGTAAGAAATATACAGAAATAGAACATTAATATAATGGGAATATGTAGACAGCTATCTCACAAGCAAAACGTTAAAATCCTAACTGTAAAATATAATGGCATGCTTTCTTAAATATTGTTGTTTCGGTTGTGTAAATGTATTGTTGTTTCGGTTCTGTAAATGTATTGTTGTTTCGGTTCTGTAAATGTATTGTTGTTTCGGTTCTGTAAATGTATTGTTGTTTCGGTTCTGTAAATGTATTGTTGTTTCGGTTCTGTAAATGTATTGTTGTTTCGGTTCTGTAAATGTATTGTTGTTTCGTTGTGTATTTTGTATTGCTCTTGTGGTAGTGGGTTGAATAAAAATCAACATATTGTTTTTTATTACGTATATATACGTACATATATATCTATAAATTTGTATTACATTATAGGCAATAAATATATCCATCTTCTTACGAATACCGGAAAATTTGAACTGCGAGTGAATATGGAGATAAAAGAAGGCGGGCAAATTTATGCTGTATACAAGTCGTTCAAACCAGTGATGCTGCATCTCAGTACCAGATAACAGTCGATGGTTACAGTGGAACAGCAGGTACATATATTTTGTATTCTGTTATGCGTTTGATGTTTTTTGTTCTATTTTCACAATTGAAAAAAATAGAGTCCTCCTCCCGTTGTCCTTTTAATCAAATAGGGCATTTTCATCATTTAAGTAATAAACATAATTCACTTGTCTGCCTCTAGAAATGATATTTTTCTTACATATTGAGATTTTCAGCTTGCTTAAGTTTATATAATAATGACTTATTGTTGTCCACTCAAATTGCACCAGAGTCTTCCCAATTATATATGTTAGGATAAACAAGGAATGTGAATTATATTATATAACTTAAAATCAATTCGAATAGTAACGTAATACCCTATATCCAGAACATGATACCCTTTAAGGTGGACGGGGTAGGCAAATAGTGACGTAATATCCCTGTTGGAAATCACGCACAGAAGAATACGTTACCGTAACGCGGTATTATTGTATATCTAACGTCGTTTACTTATGACGTTATCTTGTACTTCAGTCATCAATACAAATTCATATAGTTTAGACGTCTTTATTATTATACATGCAGTTTTAGTAAAACCACTTTACGATATTGGTACCGTGACCAGAAGAAGATGACTTCAAAGCTTAAATTCGAGCGGGACACAGAAGCGCAGTTTCTAGGATTTTAAGAAGATTTGACGAGAGGAGTGAATCAGAAGAAAAACCGGAAGAGGACGAGTTGGAAACATTACTTGGTACCTTGAAGGAAAAAACAAGATATTCTGAAGGATTTAGATAAGAACAATTTAGAAAGTGTACAAGAGGAGGATATAGAAATAGAAATACTTGACTCAGATGAGTATAAATTTAACTTAGAGACGAAAATACGCAATATTCGTAAATTTATTCATGTACAAACATCTAATCTAAATGCAGCCGCTAGAAGTTTTTCACCACATAATGAAACAATGCAACCCATACAACATGTTGGGCCCGCATATAACTATATAGATGATTCACAAAATAAAGCTCTTAATTTCACGTCTTTACGTTCAAATTCAAACGTCAAGAGCAGCAACTTTCACAAACATCCGAAATTGAACTTACCCACATTTGATGGAAACATACTTGAATGGCAATCCTTTGGGATTCTTTTGATTCAGCAATTCACAACAACAACACACTAAGCGACGTTCAAAAGTTCAATTACCTAAAGTTTTTACTAGAGGGAGAAGCGTCATACACCACTGCCGGATTTGCTCTTACGCATAAAAACTATAACAAAGCTATTGAACTTATAGACGAAAGATTTGGACAAAAGCATAAGACCGTTCAATCGTACATGCAGGCACTACTAGACATACCGCACCAAAAAATACGCTAACACACCTCAGAAGTTATTACGACAGGACAGAAACATACATAAGAGGATAAGAATCTCTCGGACAAGCTCAAGACTCGTACGGCTCGGTATTAGTACCAGTCATACTCAACAAAATGCCCAGTGAAATACGCAAAAACTTGACCCGTGAACACGGTTCAACAGATTGGTTTCTCGGTGATCTTAGGAGATCTATCTTCAAGGAGCTGGCCATTTTAGAGTCTGGTAGAAGTGCAGAAACAGTTGAAAGTCCGAGCGCTACAGCTACGTTCTACACAAACACAAAATCGCTTAAAATCTGGCCAAAAACCAATTAAACACAGAAATCTCATTCAATAAGCTGTGCATACTGCAGGGAACCCCACTTTTTGTCTGAATGTACTAAATATACAGATCACAACGACCGCATGAAAATTGTTGAAAAGGATAGATTATGCTTTAATTGCTAAGGGCGACACAGTGTAGCAGATTGCAAATCTAAATCAAACTGCAAGAAATGTAAAAGACGTCACCACACAAGCCTATGCAGCAATGGCCATAATAAGGAAACTACAAGTACAAGTAGTTCATGTACAGTACAAATACACAACGCGGAGGAAGCTGAGACATCTGTTTTATATTCATCTCTAAACCGTAATAGTCCAAATGCTTTGTTAAAGACCGCAATTGCACCACTAAGCTACAGTGGACAAACAATTGACGCAATTATCCTATTTGACGAAGGCTCACAAAGGTCATTTATAACTAGGCAATTAGCAGAGAAATTGGAGTTGAGACTAACAGGAAGTGAAGCAATAGCATTATCGGGATTTGGGGACACGGACAAGAACAACAGAGTACAACAACTAGACACAGCAACAGTTAAGTTACAAACTATTTATGGCAAACATATTTCAGTCGATGTTTTAATTGTACCAAAAATAGCCGCACCCTTGAAGACTTACATTCATACTGCCAAAAAAATGCCGTATTTGCAAAATTTAAAATTAGCTCACGCCGTAACTGAAGATGCATCATTTGAAATAGAACTACTTGTTGGAGCTGACCAATACTGGAATATAGTGGAGGATGAGAACATCAGAGGCGAGGGACCAACAACAGTAAGGTCCAATATAGGATACCAACTCTCAGGACCACTAAAAGGAACCCACTCAGTAAATACAAACGCATCAATGATGAATTTGATCGTTTCAACCAAACTAGAAGAGTTTGATCTAGAAAGGTTCTGGAAGATAGAAACAACTGGGACCGAAAATTGGGATGCCGATTCTAAGTTTAAACAGGAATTCCCGGACGTGTATGAAAAATCGTCGATCCGTTACCATGACAACCGCTACTTTGTAAAACTTTCATGGAATAGGACCACCCAACACTACCATTGAATAGAAATATTGCATATCGACGAACAGTAAAGGTTGTTAATAGACTAAGCAAAGATTCAAACATGTTAAAAAAAAATATGGAGAAATCATTGCAGAACAAGAGAGAAGGGGCTTCATAGAAAAAGTTGACGACAAAATTCCGAACTACAGAAAAGTGCATTATATTCCACATCACCCGGTGAAAAAGGATTCAGCTACTATCCCAATAAGAATAATCTACGACTGCAGTTGCCGTGAATCACCTGATATCCCTTCCCTGAATGATTGTTTATTAAACATTTCACCAAATCTGAACAACATAGCTGCAATACTTCTCAGATTTCGTCTAAATAAATATGCAGTAACAACAGACATTGAGAAAGCGTTTGCCAATGCAGGATTTAATCTTCGATCATGGGCTTCAAACAGCGAGATGTTGCAGGAATTTGCCAGAAAAGACAAAAGTATTAAGGTACTTGGATTGAAATGGAATGCTGAGAAAGACATTTGCTAAAAAGGATGCACTTGGTAATAAAAACAGAGCTGTTACAAACGAGATGTACTAAAACAAACATCTAGAATATACGACCCGTTGGGACTTTTAACCCCAATTACATTGAGAAATAAAATGTTTTTACAGGAGTTATGGAAGCATGGACTAGATTGGGACCAGTTGTTATCGTCAGAATTTACAAAACAATGGACAGAAATAGCTCAAAATACAGAAAAAGCACTAGAATTAGAAATACCCCGTATGTACCTACAAGGAGAGGGAAATGTTTCGAACTCAACCCTACATATATTTGAAGATGCAAGTGCTAAAGCTTACGGAGCATGCGCGTATATTGCGACAGAAAAACAAATTTCGCTTGTTATGGCAAAAAAAGAGTTGCTCCGTTTAAAAAGATAACAATACCAAAACTAGAGTTAATGGGAGCAGTAATTGGTGCAAAGTTATTGGACTATATTGGAAAAATATACATTTTTCTACCGCTTTTTTATGGACTGACAGTCAAATTGTATTGCAGTGGATGAACACAACAAAACCGCTTTACGTCTTCACAAGAAACAGAGTAGAAGAGATCAAGAAAATAACGGAGAAATACCAATGGAAATATTGCCCAACGAACTCAAATCCAGCTGACCTTTTATCACGTGGAGTAGACTTTGACAAATTTGCCAAGAAATTGATACATGTAACTGCCTACGTCATTAGATTCATTCAAAATTGTAGGACAAGACAAAGGACCACTAGTCCGTTGACCGTAAATGAAATAGACAGATCAGCATTAATGTGGACAAAAGACATTCAACAAAACAGATACTTGGATATTTACGACGATTTACAATGAATTTGAAAGTCTAAACATTCTCTGTTCAAACAACTTCAATTATATTTGGACGAGGACAACTTAGTTCGTTGTGCAGGAAGACTACACAATGCTTCGATTAGCGATATGGCGAAATATCCGATACTTTTACCGGCACATGACCAACTCACAAATTTGATTATACAAGATACACATAAGCGAAGCTTACATTCAGGAGTAAGTAGCACAGTTACCTTATTGAGACAATCTTACTGGATACCGCAAATCCGTCAAAACGTGAAAACCATTTTGGGTAAATGTATCACATGTAGAAAAGTTACAGGACATTATCGTACTCCAGAAGCACCACCCTTACCAAAAGACAGACTGCGCGAAGCGCCTCCTTTCACTGTAACTGGTGTAGATTTTACTGGAGCCTTAAAATTTAGAAATATAATGGAAAAGACGGTAAGGCATACATATGTCTTTTTACGTGCGCAAGCACCAGAGCTGTACACTTAGAAATAGTTACAGATTTAACAGAAAAACAGTTTATTTTAGCTTTCCGTAGATTCTCAAGTAGGAAATCACTACCAAAAATCATGGTATCCGACAATGCGACAACATACGTAGCATCAGCGAAAGAAATTGAAAAGCTAACTTCTTCACCAACACTTCAACCAACATTAAGTAGTCAAGTCACAGAGTGGAAATTCATACCCAAGCGAGCGCCTTGGTATGGCGGTTTTTGGGAAAGACTCATTGGACTAACAAACAATTGTATAAAAAAAATGTAGGACGATCTTATGTGAGTTTAGATGTACTTAATGCTACAATAATAGAAGTAGAAGCAATCCTTAATGACCGTCCGTTGACATACATATCTACAGATCCGATAGACGAGGACCCACTCACTCAATCTCATTTATTATATGGAAGGAAAATCGTATCATTACCGTATCCTATCAACCTATACGTCGACGAGAACCTTATACAAGA